GCCACGTATTGTTGTTGCAGTACCATGTAATACAAAACCGAATGTAAGTGTTGCCGCTGCAGCATAAATGTTACAGAATACGTGACAACATTAGTAATAATTAACAGTCTACGTGGTGCTGTGGATGGCGACTGTGTGGAGTCATTCACCCAGCAGTGGATGGAACATGGCTGTTGCTGACGATTTTAATGCTTTCCTTTATTTCTTGCCGGTAAGAAGAAACTGTATTTTTGACGTTTCATCCAACGGGCCTTGATAAGGACGGTTGCTGGCTACGACTAATTGAAAGCATCTCATTGCATTATACGGGATCGTTATACGATCATAAAATATATATACGTGGTCAAAAAGTTTTGAGAAATCCAATTAACTCCCGATTAGCAAAAAAAAACGAATGCATCGTAAAGTTAGTTTTGTACTAATTGTTTTAAAGTGTAAATATTTGTAGCCCATGGTCTATCAACTGCTGGAGAATATCCACGATCGATCTCACTTCTGCGTATGATGTTATTGTATTGCTCAGTCGCACGAATATAGACACACAAGACAAAGCTCTCCCGTATAGCCTAAGACAGTCTGTTGGGGCAAGTGCTGTTAGGGAACACCCATGCACACATTCCGTATGCGTACGTATACAACACACATATATTACACGCGCGTAGTTATATGTATGTGTATATATATATACATTCGTTATCATCATCAATCGTCCATCGGTATCATCAGCCATGGTCTCTTCACTGCTGGATGGATGCGTCAACTCGCCCTTACCGAAAGCCATCTTCTGCGCGATGTCACCGCTCCATCTCACAAGCAAAGGCAAAGATCCCCCGTATAGCCTTGACAAACTACGTGCTATGGGTGGCCAGTACCACGGCCGACCGGCTATGCATCCCAAGTGGCTGATGTTCACACATCGCACGATACAGTATACTCATTTGTGGCTGAGTCGACCTAGGGGAAGACCGGGATCCGTTCTGATAATCGTCACCGGTTTTGGGGGCCGTGAGCGGGAATCGAACTCGGGTCGCCGGGTTCGTAGCGCAGCGTAGCGCTAACCGCAACAATAACCGCTCCTCACTTCAAAGACAAAGATCCCCCGTGTAGCCTTAACAGACTGTTGGGGCAAGTGCTGTTAGCGAACACCTATGAAGGCCGGCACAGCGCACGAGGGGGTGGGTGGCCAGCACCACACCCGGCCGCCTTTGTCTCCCCAGTGGCGATGTTTTTACGCACCGCACCAGGTACTCATTCGAGGCTGAGTCGACCTAGGAGAGGCCCAGGACCGGTTCGGATAACCGTCACCGATGTTGGCCGTGATCGGGAATCGAACTCGGATCGCCGGGTGCGTAGCACAGTGCGCTAACCACAACACTGACCGCTCCCCAATACAATACAATATACACACACATCACGAATATGTACTGCTGTCACACTTATACACACACACATATATAATAACACACCAATGCACGTATATTTGCATACATACATATACAAGACAAATCTTCCCCGTATAGCCTTACCATTTTGGGGGGGCAAGTGCTGTCAGCGAGGAGCGCCTATGAAATCCGGCATGGCACGCATTGATGGCCAGAACCACGCCCGGCCGCCTTTGTCTCTCCTCGTTCGCCATCCCTCGCGGCTCACGCGATGTCGCGATCCACGCCACTCCCGCACATTCGCTCATTTCATTGCTCCATCTCTGCGGTGGTCCGTACACTATGGCTCGCTGCCTCACTCCGTCACGAGTCTCGACCACCGGCCCGTCATCATCAACATCATCATCTCCATCATCATCAACATCATTAACGTCATCAACATCACCATCGTCGTCACCATTTTCAACATCATCAACATCAGCACCATCATCAACGTCATCAACATCACCATCATCATCAACATCATCACCATCATCAACATCATCACCATCATTATCAACATCGGCACCATCATTAATGTCATCAACATCACCATCATCATCAACATAATCACCATCATTATCACCATCATCATCACCATTATTGTCACCATCATCATCATCACCATCACCATCGTCATCACCATGACGACCATCAGCATCATGACCAACATCGCCACCATAATCACCATCATCAACATCATCACCATCATTACCACCATCGCCGTCCCTTCCAGCGCTGATGCGTCCTGCCAAGACCGCTAACTTTTCTGAACTCAACTAAACTTTTTATTTTACCAGGTCAGTCCTGCCGAGCAATACGACTCTTATTCAGAGGCGACCTGTGGGTGTCAACCCGAGTGATAGCTCAACCAAGAGGCTTATCACGTGGACATTTTGTAGCAGCCAAATACTCTAAACGCGTGGTGACGTTGATTCGAAATGCGGTGGGAAAAACCGGAGGACCCGGAGAAAACTCCACGCGACTACAGAGAGAGAGACAGAGAGAGAGACACGACCTCCTGTATACCAGGCGAGGTAGTTAACATCTCCTAGCCACTGTGATGATGAAGAGAGAGAGACACGCAAACTCCAAATATACAGCAGGCGTCAGGGTCGGGATCGAACATACGACCTCCTGTATAACAGGCGAAGTAGTTAACATCTCCTAGCCACCGTGATGATGATGAGAGACACGCAAAACTCCAAATATACAGCAGCAGGCGTCAGGGTCGGGATCGAACCTACGACCTCCTGTATACCAGGCAAGGTAGTTAACATCTCCTAGCCACCGTGATGATGATGAGAGAGAGAGAGACACGCAAAACTCCAAATATACAGCAGCAGGCGTCAGGGTCGGGATCGAACCTACGACCTCCTGTACACCAGGCGAGGTAGTTAACATCTCCTAGCCACCGTGGCGTCTCCTCTTCATACCGTCGTTCCATTTTCCCTGTTAGTGTACCACTTGTTTTATACAATGAACATTATCCATATACGCGGTCAACTCCGAACGTAGGTTTACTCGAAAGCCAATGCCACAGTGTCAACTTCACAGCCGGGAGATGCAATCGAACCGCCGCGCCTTCTGGATTGCAGGTCCGGTCAGTGGTTGATCACCGTTTTGCCAGGGGCAACCACCCCACATCGTCAAAGCGTCTGACGTACGAGTCACCCTCTGCGCTACAATGCCGAGGACCGGGAAGCGTGGCCAGATCACGGGGAGCGCGCCCCATCCCGGCAGATCTCGGAAGCTCCGCAGGCCCCCAGCCTGGACAGCACAAACATGGGATACTTACCGTGGCGTAACAGGTGTTATAGGCTGTTGGGGTTCTTCGTTGTCGGCAGTGGGGGGGGGGGGGGGGGGGGGGGGGGGGAGAGGGGGGGCAGCACGTGTGTCGACTCGCTGCGTCACTGTTCCAAGCGATTTTAATACGCGCTCTGTGTAAAGTGCGTGAGGTCGGTTGAGAAATGTGTGTCTGTGTGTGTGTCTGTGGGGAGCGGTGGTACAGCGGTTAGCCCGCTACACTGTGAACCATGCCATCTGGGTTCGATTCCAGCTCACGGTCAACACCAGTGTCGATTATCTGAACCGTTTCTGGGCCTCCCTTAGGTCGACTCAGCCTCAAATGAGTACCTGGTGCGGTGTGTAAACATCGCCACTGGGGAGGCAAAGGCGGCCGGGCGTGGTGCTGGCCACCCACCCCCTCGTGTGCCGTGCCCGCTAGCAGCACTTGCCCCGACAGTTTGTCTTTGTGCATACATACATACCGTGTATGTGTGTGTGGGTAGCGGTAACGCAGTGGCTAGAGAGCGGCGCTACGAACCCGGCGACCCGAGTTCGATTCCCACTTACCGTCGACATCAGTGGCGAATATCTGAACGGATAATGCTCAACACTGACGCCGATGACACGGATCTCATGATGATGCTGCTGCTAATGATCACTGTTGTGTCACTGCCTACGCTGGTAATATTACTGCTGCTGCTGCCGATGATGCCACTGCCATTAGTTCTGCTGCTGCTGATGGCTATAGTATAACGCGAGGCACTTTTTTATAATTTTAACATTGCTGTTACGACTGCTGCCGATTCTGATCTGACTGATGAGTTCTTACCGCCTCTCTGTGTGCACCGCGCTGTCATTCACGTGACTCATTCATCGTGTTCCACGTCTCTCTCTCTCTCTCTCATTCTGCTGCGATAGTTTTTTCTTCGTTCTTACGTGCATCGACTCCGCGCGTATCTCGTTCATTAAATTCACGCGTTTCGTTCCGTATACCTCTCTCGTTCAGTTATTTATTCATTCTGCTACACGCGTTTCCTTGTATGCCTTCATTCTGCTCCAAGCATCTCATTCATTCTTCTCCATGTGCCTCTTATTCATTCATTCTGACCCACGTTTTCCTGGTATATTCCTTCATTCTGCTCCAAGTAGCTCATTAATTCAGTTCCACGTTTTTCTCATTAATAAATTATGCTGCACGTTATTTGTCATTAATTAAATTACTCCATAATTCATTCTGCTCAGAGTGTTTCATTCATTCAGTCTGCCTCATGCGCCTCTCTCATTGATTCGTGAATTCTGCACCACGTTTTTCTCACTCAATCATTCCTTCTGCTCCACGTGTCTCTACTAATCTTCCACTCATTTTGGCACACGTGTCTGTTATTCATTCACTCATTAATTCTCCCACTCACTCGCTCGATCACTGAGCGTCTTATCCCTACTCCCCTCTCCGTCCGTCGGTCCGTGATGGGTGGTGATGGTGGCAGTGATGGATTATGGGGAGCGGTGGCGCAACGGTTAGCGCTGCGCTCCGAACCCTGCTACCCGAGTTCGATTCCCGCTCGCGGCCAACACCGGTGACGATTATCCGAACCGGTCCTGGGTCTCCCCTAGGTCGACTCAGCCTCCACATGAGTACCTGGTGCGGTGTGTAAACATCGCCACTGGGGAGACAAAGGCGATCGGGCGTGGCTGCTGGCCAACCCCCCTCCTCCCCTCGCCCCATCAGTTCGCTAAGGCTATTACGGGGAGTGTGGAATCTTTGTCTTTGTCTTGACCATGACTCCACAGGTCTCTGGCCGTGGGAAACCAATACGCGGCTCTGGGCTCCCAGCCCGTGCTGTGCGCCTCCATCCCGGGCCTCGTGCCCAAGCAGCTGCGCTTCTGCCGCAACTACCTGGAGCTGATGCCCAGCGTGGCGGAGGGCCTCAAGCTGGGCATCCAGGAGTGCCAGCACCAGTTCCGCGGGCGGCGCTGGAACTGCACCACGCTCAGCGACAGCCTCGCCATCTTCGGGCCGGTGCTCGACAAAGGTGGGCGGCGGTGCTGGGGGTGGGGAGGTGGGGGAGGGAGGGGGGAGGTGGGGGAGGGAGGGGGGAGGTGGGGGAGGGAGGAGGGACAAGGGGGAGGGAGGGGGGAGGAGGTGGGGGAGGGAGGGGGGGGAGGTGGGGGAATGAGGGGGGGGGGGCGAGGTGGGGGGGGAAGTGGGGGAGGGAGGGGTGGGAAAATGGGGGGAGGGAATGGGGGAGGTGAAGGAGGAGGGGAGGTGAAGGAGGGGGGGGGGGTGGTGGTGGGGGAGGAGGGGGGTGGTACACACACCTGGGTCTGCGACTAGAACCAAGGTTTTACAGAGTTAGAGGGGGCTCCCCCCCCCCGCCCAGCCTCACACAATAGAGGGTCCCACAATGGACCTGGTTGTGTATGGTCGCGCATGAATCACAACAATAACAACAACAATAACAACTGATTTACCCCATGAAAGCCGCACTGCGACTGAAGACTCCTGTGCCAGCAGGGTCCTGATAGGCCAAGGCGTTCATGGCCATTGCCAGTTAGTTTAATTGCCTCTCCGTTGCGTTTTTAAGCTCCCCGATGAGCACGGTTGGCTAAGTACGGTGCAGAAGAAGTTCAACATACAGAGATATATATACAGAGCTCTGCATCTATTCACATGTGGCGCACCGCGGGAAGGGGGCAGGGTACGGCAAATCGGGGCGACTGCCCCGAGCCCCGCAATTTGGGGGGGGGGGAGGTTGTGGCCCACGATTCGACGTCACGGTGTCGAATGTAAGAGGGGAAGGCATGGGAAAGGGAAGCGCGAAGGGAGAGAATGGGAAATAATTATAATTATAGTAAGATGATGAAGACGATGATTTTAAAATCAACGGAAAGGCGTAACCGAACGGGAGGGCGTGGAAAAGGATTGACCGGGTCACCATGTCGGGGATGATGAGAGGGTGATTATGATGATGAGAGGGTGATGATGATGATAGGGTGATGATGATGATGAGAGGGTGAAGATGATGAGAGGGTGATGATGATGAGGAGAGGGTGATGTTGATGACGATGAGAGAGTGATGATGATGAGAGGGTGATGATGATTAGAGGGTGATGATGATGATGATGAGAGGGTGGTTATGATGATGATGAGACTGTGATGATGATGATGAGAGGGTGATGATGATGAGAGAGGGATGATGATGAGAGGGTGGTGATAATGATGAGAGGGTGGTGATGATGATGATGAGAGAGGAGGGATTCCGCTGCTGCCCATGGCGAGAGGGCTTCAGTAAAGATAGAGTTCCTGTCGTGTCGCTGTTTCGCATTCTATCTTTAGTCTATGTTTATATATGTCTATGTGTCTCTCTGTGTGTCTCCGTGAGACTTACAGAGATGTTAGCTCCCTCGCCTGGTATGCAGGAGGGTCCTGGGTTCGATCCTGAACCTTGGACGCCTGCTGTATATTTGGAGTTCGTATGTCACTCTCCCCGTGATGGAGTGTTGTTTTTTTTCTCTGGGTCCTCCGGTTTTCCCCTTCACATTTAGAATCAACATGTGTTTAGAGTATCACAGGATAAGCCGCTTCGTTGAGCTATCGTTTGTGATGGCCAGGTCGCGTCTGAAAAATAGCTTTATAGCTCAGTGGGCCTGATGTGGTCAAATAAAAATAGTTTATCGTGCTTGCGATGCGCGTGTCAATGGACAACGTGGGCAGTCGTGCAAAAATAAATGTTTGCATCTCAAGGGATTTCCCAGGTGCAACGCGGGAAATTACAACAATAACAACAATGCCAGGCTCGCAGTGCAGTCCAGTGCGCTAAGCACTGCGCCTCCGCTCCTTCTCGACGAGGTTCGGCAAGTTCCTCGTGACCGATGGCCCCACCGTCTTACGGATGGATGTTCGAATGGGATGGACAGACGGGTGAACAGATGGATTGACGGGTGAACGGATGGATTGACGGGTGAACTGGATGGATTGACGGGTGAACGGATGGATTGACGGGTGAACTGGATGGATTGACGGGTGAACTGGATGGATGGACGGGTGAAAGAATGGGTTGACGGGTGAAAGGATGGATTGACGGGTGAAAGGATGGACAGACGGGTGAACAGATGGATTGACGGGTGAACGGATGGATTGACGGGTGAACGGATGGATGGACGGGTGAACTGGATGGATGGACGGGTGAACGGATGGATTGACGGGTGAACTGGATAGATGGACGGGTGAACGGATGGATTGACGGATGAACGGATGGATTGACGGGTGAACGAATGGATGGACGGGCAATGGATTTTATGAATAAATGGACGGATGAATGGAATTAGGAAAGACGGACGAACAGACATGGGAACAGACACGCGACTACTGGACATCCCCTTGAAAGAAAGAGCTTCACAGCTCGCCGGATTCCTCCGGCATGAAATAACCACGCCGATCCCGATTGTGGCAAAACACGTGCGCACGTACGGCATCTCTGTTCCTTCCCCTACCCCCTCCCCCCCGACCCTCAATTGGCCGCCCGTCGCAGCGACACGCGAGTCGGCCTTCGTGCACGCCATCGCCTCGGCAGGCGTGGGCTACGCGGTGACTCGGGCGTGCGCCGAGGGCGCTTCCGCCATCTGCGGCTGCGACACGAAGCATCGCGGTCCCCCCGGGGAGGGCTGGAAGTGGGGGGGATGCAGCGAGGACGCCGACTTCGGGGTGATGGTGTCGAGAGAGTTCGCCGACGCGCGCGAGAACCGGCCCGACGCTCGCTCCGCCATGAACCGGCACAACAACGAGGCCGGCCGCCTGGTGCGCGACCGCACGCGATCAATATTGATCACGACCACCACGCACAAACGCCGACCACTGCCGACGCACTGAGCAATATTGATCACCAGCACCACACGCCCATCACCACCACCACCACCACCGCTGTCGCACGTGATCAATATTGATCACAAGCCCACACAAACGCCGACCACTACCGCCACACTGATTAATATTGATCACCAGCACCACACACTCACCACTACCGCCACCTCCATCACCGCTGCGCGTGATCAATATTGATCATAAGCTCCACACACCCACCCCACCACTGCGCGTGATAATATTGAGCACGCCACCACCACCATTGCACTATTTAGCCCCTGCTGAGTTTTATGTAGATTCATAATGATCACCTATTCTTACCAAGTGCCATGAATCTGTATTTAATCTCCTATTGATCATTAGTTTGGTGAAGGTGGATACTGATCACATATTGATCGAAGTGCCCTACATCTGTCTATTGATCCCCTATTGAGTGAGCATTAGTTTCCTATAGGTAAATATTGATCACTAATTGGCTCCAAGTTTCATAGAGTTGTCGCTATTGATTCCTATTTATCAGTATCTTATATAAAATCGAGATTGATCACATATTGATCCTTAGTTTACCCCACTCACAACCTCCAGTGACCACATATTACCTCCCTCTTTTCCTTCCCAGTAGCGTAACGAGCGTGGCCAAAGCTACGAGGGGGGAGGGGGTGGGGCCGTGGGGCCCTCCCCTAGACAGTCAACCTTGGGATTTGTGGGGGGGGGCATCAAATATTGGGGGCCCACCCCCCACCCCCACCCGGACCGATTGCCGTACCGCCGCCGAGCTGATAACGGCGTCACTACAGAGACAGAGATCCCCCGTATAGTCTTCACAGACTGTTGGGGCAAGTGCTGTTAGCGAGTCGCAACCTGTGAAGGTCCGCACGGCACACGAGGGGGTGGTGGGTTGGCCAGCACCACGCCCGGCCGCCTTTGTCTCCCCCCAGCGGCGATGTTTGCTACATACCGCTACACCGGGTATTCATTTGCGGCTGAGTCGACCTCGGCGATGCCCACGGCCGGTTCCGATAGCCGTCACTGGCATTGGCCGCGAGCGTGAATCGAACTCGTGGTGGCCAGGTTCATAGCCTTAGCAGCAGCAGAGGCAGCAGAGGCAGTGGCTAACCGCGACTCCATCGCGACTACACCGTGACTACACCGTCACTACACCGCGACCACACCACGACTACAGTGTGACTACACCACGACTACAGTGTGACTACACCACGACTAGACCGTGACTACACCGTGACCACACCGTGACCACACCGTGACCACACCACGACTACACCGTGACCACACCGTGACCACACCGTGACCACACCGTGACCACACCACGACTACACCGTGACTACACCATGACCACACCACGACTACACCGTGACTACACCACGACCACACCGTGGCCACACTGTGACCACACCGTGACCACACCACGACCACACCCACCGTAACCACGACTACACCGTGACCACACCGTGACCACACCACGACCACACCACGACCACACCGTGACCACACCACGCGCTCGCCAGGTGACTTACACGCCGCTGGTTCCCTTCCACCCCCCCCCATCCACCCCCAGTCCATCCTGGAGCACATGCAGCTCAAGTGCAAGTGCCACGGCCTGTCGGGCAGCTGCGAGGTGAAGACTTGCTGGGGCGCGCAGCCCGACTTCCGCGCGCTCGGCGACCACCTCAAGGACAAGTACGACAGCGCCTCCGAGATGCTCGTCGAGCGCCACCGCGAGTCGCGCGGCTGGGTCGAGACGCTGCGGCCCAAGTACCCCCTCTTCAAGCCGCCCACCGACGGCGACCTCGTCTACTACGAGACGTCGCCCAACTTCTGCGAGCCCGACCCGGAGACGGGCTCGTTCGGCACGCGCGACCGCGCCTGCAACCTCACCTCGCACGGCATCGACGGCTGCGACCTCCTCTGCTGCGGCCGCGGGCACAACACGCGCACCGAGAGGCGCAGGGACAAGTGCCGCTGCGCCTTCCACTGGTGCTGCTACGTGAGCTGCCAGGAGTGCACACGCGTCTACGACGTGCACACGTGCAAGTAGATGTCGCGGGGGGGGGGGGGGTAGGGGGGTAGAGGGGGTGTTGGGTGGAGGGGCCCCCAAAGGTTGCGGTGTTCACAGCGTGTTGCGGAGGTGCGCGGTTCGGAGCCAACGGGCCACCCTGGTTAATACTGCTGGGTGAATACGTGTGTGTGTGTGGTCGTGCGTTAACCGTACCTGTGCGGTGTGTAAAATCATCTGGCACTGGGGGGAGACAAAGGCGGCCGCGCGCGGTGTTGGCCGCCCACCCCCTCGTGCGCCGTGCCGTGCCGGCCTTCATAGGTGCCACTCGCTAACAGCACTTGCCCCAACAGTCTGTTGAGGCTATACGGGGGCGGGGATTTTTGTCTTTGTGTTAACCGCATGAGTGCAACGGCGCCCACTGCTTCGCATTTGGAGGTGAAGAGACGCCGTGGTGGAGTCGTCGTTCGAAAACGAGGAGGGAGCGTGAGCAGGCCACCGCGTGCCGGACGGAGTGCGCGGTCCACACATTTGGGCAGAGAGAGCGGGGAGGAAAGGAAAAATGAAAATTGATCTAAAAAAATATATATACAGCCGCAAAAATGTGTACTTTTCGATGTTTGGGAATCCCCCACACCCCCCCTAATAAATAAGGAGCGACGTCGCTGTCTCGGTGGGCACACTCGGGACTACGATCGTCTCGTGTGCAACGCAGCAGCACCCCCCCCCCCCTCCCAGCGCCTTGCAGCCTTCCCGCTACCCCCTTGCCCCACGAGAATAGCGCGGAGACGCGGAGACCAAACTGTGCCCGAGCGGTCTTTCCTCACCCCGGGCCTGCCCGCCCGCCCGCGCGGGCCCACCGGAGGCCCCCTTGGGTGGCCTTGAGTGCGGCCCCTTCGTCAATACACAGATGGTGAAATCAGCCCACCACCACCATCATCATCATCATCGTGCTGCTGTCAAACCCCCAGCGGTTTCAAATGTGTGGTGCGGCCCCCTTCGCCCCCTCCCCAACCTCTCCTGAAAATTACTGAAGATCTCTGCGCTAAAGTAATTCTTGGCGATGGTGGCCCACGATAGCAGCCTTGGTGGAGCGGCGGTTGAGTTTTAGAGGCGCCGAGGTGAGCGCCGAAGCTGCTGTTGTCAACGTCGTCACCATCACCACCGCCTCCGCCATCATCATCATCGTCGTCGCAATTGTTACTGAAACGATGTATGTTGAACTTCTTTCACGCCGTACGTAGCCGACCGCGATGTGTGACGATCACCATCATCACCGCTGTCATTAACACCAATACAGATGTCACAATCTCTACCGCCACTCATTCCACAGTTGTCATCAGCATCATCGTCATCACCACTGCCATCATCATCATTACCACCACTGCCATCATCATCATCACCACTGCCATCATCATCACCACTGCCACCATCATCATCACCACCACTGCCATCATCATCACCACCACTGCCATTATCATCATTACAACCATCATCACCATCTTCATCACCACTGCCACAATCATCATCACCGTCATCATCACCACTGCCATCATCACCATTATCACCACTGCCACCAACATAATTACCACCACTGCCATCATCACCATCATCACCACTGCCATCATCATCATCACCACCACTGCCATCATCATTACCATTGCCACCATCATCATTACAACCACCATCACCGTCATCATCACCACTGCCACCAACATAATTACCACCACTGCCATCATCACCATCATTACCACTGCCACCAACATCATCACCACTGTCACCAACATCATCATCACCACTGCCATCATCATCATCATCATCACCACCACTGCCACAATCATCATTACAACCATCATCACCGTCATCATCACCATCATCACCACTGCCACCAACATAATTACCACCACTGCCATCATCACCATCATCACCACTGCCATCACCATCATCACCACCACTGCCATCATCATTACCATTGCCACCATCATCATTACAACCACCATCACCGTCATCATCACCACTGCCACCAACATAATTACCACCACTGCCATCATCACCATCATTACCACTGCCACCAACATCATCACCACTGTCACCAACATCATCAACACCATTGCCATCATCATCATCACCACTGCCGTCATCATCATCACCACCACTGCCATCATCATCATTACAACCACTATCACCGTCTTCATCACCACTGCCATCATCACCATCATTACCGCTGCCACCATAAGTACTCTCACCTTCATTCTAACAATCATGAGAATCATCATCGTCGTCATTCACATCAACGGCCACTGCCACCGTTGTGCCAGGTGCTGGGTTCTCCAGATACCTCCAATTCCTTCATAGAGATCTGTCCAATAAAGCTCCTTATCGCTTTTTACAGAAATCCCTTCAGCAAACCGTGGATTTACTTTCATCGAAGATCGCTTCGCCTTTGCAGAGATGTTCTCGTGACAGCGGCGGCTGTCAACCCTTCGTGGAGACCTACATTATGTTTTATTTCGCGAGACTTTGTCCAGAAATATGAGGACGTCAACTTCCCATTCGCTGCCTTAATAAGACACCGGTTCATTCGAGCGCCTGCAGTTAACACACTCATCGATCTACAGTATATATATACATAGCTTGCAGTGAGCGTCGTTTATTTTAAAATGTCTCTTATTTAAAGTAACCTCCTGTCCACTTGCATAGAGATCTGTGAAGTGACCCCCATTAGACTCCTATTGAAATTTGTTAAAGTGAACCCAATTGATATCTCTGAAGCGACCTCCTATTCACTGTCATTGGAATCGACCTCCTGTTCCCTTTCAATGATATGTTATTCGACCTCCTGTTCACCGTCATTGAGATCTGTTCAGCGACCTCCTGTTCACTCTCATTGACATCTGGTGACCCCTGTTCACCGTCATTGAGATCTGTTCAGCGACCTCCTGTTCACTCTCTTTGACATCTGGTGACTCCTGTTTACAATCATTGAGATCTGTTCAGAGACCTCCTGTTCACTCTCATTGACATCTGGTGACCCCTGTTCCCCGTCATTGAGAATGCCCCGGGGTTTCACTCGAAGATGTGAGACCTCGACGAACGGCGCTCCATTCCCAACTCCTCCCGAAACTCTTAATGCCGGGTTTGGCTGGCGGCTCCATTTGACGGTAGAACCAGCGGAGGACATTCCACGTTAGTGTGGCGGGAAGGGAAAAGGGGTCGGTGGTCGAACCTGCCCGTGAGACATCTTCTAAAGCGGTGCCACGGAGCGTTATGATGGGCCCGCACCCAGCCGCCCGCCCTCCTCGGTCAGGATGTGAACTCGTGACCTTTCATCCTCGCGGGGCCTCGCACTCTGACCCCCCCCCCCCACCTCCCCCCCCCCCCAACCGGCCTGAAAGAGAGAACAAAACCCACTGCTAAATGTGTCTAGTTGGTAGCGTTTACCTAATTGTTAATGTGTTATGTCCTAAAACCTCTATAATAAAAGCACGTATTTATTGAACATAATGTATATATATGCGTTTAAAAAAAATGGGGGGGGGGGAGAGACGGGGGGGCACGCAAAACAAAAAAGGGCCAAGGGCTCTGTCGAGACGCGCGTGTGGGGTCGCGGGGTCAACGGAGCCGTCTCCGCAAGCTGGCGGAACATCGACGCAGAGAGAGAGAGAGGAGAGAGCCGCTTTCTATTAACACGAGTGCAGAAATAAATAATTGCACGGGTTTTTTTTTAAATAAAAAGATAAAAGGTTAGACGATAACGACGTTAACGATAAAGGTGAACGTGTTGTACCCACCGTTTGAATTGTGTTTTTGTCGTCGTCGTCGTAATAGTACGTTGGTGGCACGTTCGTTCGCGACGTGCAGATAACCACAACACATTGCGGGTCGTCGAGTTCAGAGAAGGCGCCACGGCAATTAAACAGCGTGGTGGAGTTTGGTTAAAATAACACGACCACCACCCACACCACCCACGCCACAACACAGCCAGCACGGCGTGGATGGGCAGGCGCCCCCTCGCCCAATAGCGGACTCACAAAAAAGGGCAACTCTGTGAGAGCACTGTGGAAGAAATAAAATGAATTTCGATTTAAAGCTTTCGTGACTGCAAGGATTCATCTTCTTTAGTTCTTTCGGTAAAAGTCACGTAGAATGAGAATAAAATAATAAATTAATAAAATAACACAATAAAATTCTCACGACGTTTCGGCCACAACGCAAGTGGCCTTCATCCGGTGAAGGGACGAGACTGTCTCGGGTCCAGCGCTGTCCTCGAGAGTCTCGTCCCTTCACCTGATGAAGGCCACTTGTGTTGTGGCCGAAACGTTGTGAGAATTTTATCGTGTTATTTTATTAATTTATTCTCATGCTACGTGACTTTACCGAAAGAACCAAAGAAAATTAAATGAATTTTGTCCCTGGGTATTAAGTGTTAGTTCCTAATTGTTTATGCCTCAAAAGTACAGGCAATGGCTATTATTCTACCATAAACTTTGCTTTTTTGACCAGGACGGTGATATTTTGAATTTCACCTATTTTCAATGAGAAAACGTGGTGTGCATTTGTGTCATTCCTTCACGTAAAGTCCTGGTCACAAAAGCAAAGTTTGTGGGGAACAATAGCCATTTTCTATACTTTTTAGGCATAAGCAATTAAAAAATAACACTTACTACCCAGGGACAAAAATCGTGTTACATCGTGTAATGCACTCAGTACCGCATACATTGAACATACAGTATCATATTTGCAGACCTCTGGTCAATCCACTGCTGGATGAAGAGCCTCCTGCCCCACACCAAGAGACGGACTCGGGACGCTCCATCTCCGAGGGGGTGACCCCAATGATTCTCTCTCTCTCCAAGACGAATCCCAATTTCGACTTCCATCGCCATAGCCAACATCGCCACCCACCGGGGCCATCAACCCCCGCCGAGCGACGCGTCCAACCCAAGCCCGTGTCGTTTTTTGAAAACCAAACATTATTTGGCGATGCTGCAGCTTGCATTTGACACGGTTAATAATGAAAAAATAACAAACACAAAGCGAGTGGCACCTGTGAAGAGCCGGCACTGTGGCACACGATGGGTGTGGGGGTGGCCAGCACCACGCCCGGCCGCCTTTGTCTCCCCAGTGGCGATGTTTACACACCGCACCAGGTACTCATGTGAGGCTGAGTCGACCTAGGGGAGGCCCAGGACCGGTTCAGACAATCGTCACCGGTGTTGGCCCTGAGCGAGAATCGAACCCGGGTCGCCAGGTTCGTAGTGCAGCGGCATTAACCGTAACACTACCGCTCCCCAAATAAGATAAACCCCACTCCCCTACACACATTAATTCCTCAAAAACAGTGGGGCTTAAAAGAAAATAGATATAATAGGCAACGTTTCAGGCAATGGGCCTTCTTCACAGCGCATACATTCTTACTTTTCTTAACAGTCAACGCTGTCTCCAGTTTACACCGGAATAGTGACCCTTCTCTCGAAGTTATTCCAAGGACGTTTCTCTGCTGGTGCTCAGCTATTGTTCAATAACCTGTGTGCACTGCAAGGTGTTACACCTTGCACCGCCTTCAATGTGTAATTAAGGGAGGCAGTTCCGTATCCGGATAGCAGTGACGGAGGGAGCTTCTGTCCATCGAGCATGTTCTGGCAATTGGTGAGGGGGGGATGATTTAGTCCGGTCTTAAATTCACCGATTGTCACCGGCTGAGTGGACTTCAGTCGGCAGAGACCGTTCCAGACCACCGCGAGGACGTAAGATAGGAAGCTTCGTTCCGCTGTCCGAAGCCGCGTGGATTTCACACAGCAGCAGCTCCATACCAGATGAGAGTAGGTGTCGTGATGGATACCTATGGGTGGATGGCATCACTTAGGTATGGGAGCTGACCGTCCGTACCAGATGAGTGGAGGTGTCGTGATGGATACCTATGGGTGGATGGCATTGCTCATCTTTGCACTGCAAGATTATTTTTGTACTTTTATTTCTGCATCACAAAATCAATAGCACGTCACAGAAGACAACGCCAAACGAAAGCAGTGCTACAATCGACAACCCAGAACCAGAGTTTTGTTTCTACACGTAATATATATTCGTAAAGCAAATCGCCTTCATCAACAATCGGATCACAGCCAAGACGGGACCGAAAGGAGCAGCGCACGATTTGTTACCCGATAAAAGCACTGTAAGCGACGATCACAGCACGCGCCGGACTTACAAAACAAGCGCCACCACCACCACCACAACATTCACACCACTGTCTGTACACGTGGGGAACACATGGGTATTAAATTAAGCCTAACAACTTACTCGGCGCCACCTGCAGCGGTGCGCAAACACACGTACGGGTGGGATGTACACTCAGGAATGACACTAAAGAGGGAAAAAAATGAATAAAAATACATCACAAGTCAAACAAGGCCTAAACTCGACAAATCTATAACACCGTCAACAGCGCCGATTGTCGCTGGTCGCTTGGCTCCATGGGCTGTTGGGCGCTGTAACTCGGCACGGCACCTGACCCGGGAGCGAGGGGGACGAGTTGGACACGTGACCCGAGAGGGGGACGAGTTGGACACGTGACCCGGGAGCGAGGGGGACGAGTTGGACACGTGACCCGGGAGCGAGGGGGACGAGTTGGACACCTGACCCGAGAGGGGGACGAGTTGGACACGTGACCCGGGAGCGAGGGGGACGAGTTGGACACGTGACCCGGGAGCGAGGGGGACGAGTTGGACGTGTGACCCGAGAGGGGGACGAGTTGGACACGTGACCCGGGAGCGAGGGGGACGAGTTGGACACCTGACTCGAGAGCGAGGGCGACGAGTTGGACACGTGACCCGGGAGCGAGGGGGACGAGTTGGACACCTGACCCGGGAGCGAGGGGGACGAGTTGGACACCTGACCCGAGAGGGGGACGAGTTGGACACCTAACCCGGGAGTGAGGGGGACGAGTTGGACACGTGACTCGAGAGCGAGGGGGACGAGTTGGACACGTGACCCGGGAGTGAGGGGGACGAGTTGGACACCTGACCCGGGAGCGAGGGGGACGAGTTGGACATGTGACCCGAGAGGGGGACGAGTTGGACACGTGACCCGGGAGCGAGGGGGACGAGTTGGACACCTGACCCGGGAGTGAGGGGGACGAGTTGGACATGTGACCCGAGAGGGGGACGAGTTGGACACGTGACCCGGGAGCGAGGGGGACGAGTTGGACACGTGACCCGGGAGCGAGGGGGACGAGTTGGACACGTGAACCTGGAGGGGGACGAGTTGGACACGTGACCCGGGAGTGAGGGGGACGAGTTGGACACGTGACCCGGGAATGAGGGGGATGAGTTGGACACCTGACCCGGGAGTGAGGGGGATGAGTTGGACACCTGTCCACAGAGCCTCGGGGGAACAGTTTCCCATGGCTGGCAAAATCCGTGGAGGTTGGGGGGGGTTAAACAGTCTCGAGAAATGTAGAGTGACGGCCGAAGCAGCGAGCAATTTGTCTAATTTTGATTTAATGGCCACAAGGACATGTCTCATCTCTCTCTCTATGTATTTATATATACTTATTTATAATCGAGTATATTAAAGCCGCTCGTTTTGGTAGTATATTTGTCGGTATGAGTCAACAAAAAAAACATCAACACCTAATCGGAGACTGTGATTTGTGAGAGTTGGGGTTTATGGTCTGCAGTCGATTTACCACCCATACAGCTTTGTAGCCTCTAACTGCCCTGTCCAATACAGAACCCTCGTCACATCCAGCACAGACTCTTCCATTTGGTCACATTCAATACAGAAGCCACAACCGAATCCGATAAGATAACTTTAACCCGCCCCCCCCCATCCAATACAGAACCCTCTACAGCTTTGTGAAGACTTTATCGGTGATGCGTGTTTGTGTAATGTAAATTTTGGCTATTGTCGACCAATCCGAAACGGAGCCCTCAATCTCGCCAAATCCCAGGCAGAACCCTCACCTCGTGCACTTGGGCCTAACACATCAGATCTGCGCTGACTTGTGACGGGTTCTCGGACGTCACGTTTTGTTCAAAGACCGTGAGATATGTAAACACTGTTGCTGTCTTGCCATCGACAACCAACGCAGTCAACTAAACAAGCGAGCTTTGGCCAATTGAGTCATCAGTCACAGCGTATGTACGCTTGCTACGGAGGTACACGTAGTCCGGCGAACGTATGCAACGCACCGAAATCCTTCAAGGTGACCAGGTGAGATGCTACATATTGCACATATATATAAGCGCACGCACACACACACACGAAGTTTTAAAAGTGGCTGGGAGTTGACATCGGCCCGTTGCTGCCGGGGTCTCCCGAAAACCGCAAAAAACTATTTCACGTCGCTCCCGTCGGGTTTCAAGCAGAGTCTGTAACTGGGCCCCGGCGTTTTGCGCACACTTTAAAAGGGCGCGAGAGAGCGACAGCGGCATCGGAACCGCGAGGAAAAGGAATGAAAGAGCATTCGCCGGCCGGTTTGATCAGCCGGGGGGGGGGGTTTTCGAAACGACGACCCACGGGCTGCTGCGCGGGAGCCCGACTGAAGGTGCGAGCGGCGCTAGGGGGACTCCCAGGGGGGGAGGGCCGCCTCAATACTGGAGGAACAAATCGAGGCGAGCGATCTGGAGCCCGTGTCGTTGTTGTTGTTTCGAGCGATCCCGGGGGACGCGGCGCGCGTCCAGGGGGCCCCCGGGGGGGGGGGGGGGGGGGGTGCGAGCGGCAAGATCACGGAGAAGCGAGGAGGTCGCCGAAGCCGGGCGGTCCGCGGGTGGCGTCCTTGGGTCCCGCGGAATGCGGCGGAGCGACGAGAGCTGTGAAAAACTCAAACGACGGCTCGCGCTTCGGAACGTCGGGCGGTTTTCGGTTTTCAGAGACGAACCGCCCGCGCGCAGCCACGCACGTGAAAACGCGGCCCCCCCGTGTTGGATGCGCCAACACGGGGGCGTCGCGGGGGGTGAGACGACGCCACCTCCCATCCGGCCAATCGGGTCGCGCGCCCGTGTTGCAAACACGCCAGAGTGGACACTCAAAATCTATTCAGAGCGGAGCGACGCGGACAACCGCGTTGCGTCGAGCGACGACACCGCCGCGCAAAACCTCGCTCCGTTTACCCGCAGCGGTAACGGTCGTACACGCGCGTTGCTGTGGTGAGGATACGAGGCGTGTGCGTTTGTGCGCGTGTGCGTTTGAGGAGAGCGTGCATGACGACATGAGCTGTGACTGGGGCGCAGGCTGAGGTACCAATGCACATCCGATTAGCGCGGCTGGCTATGTACAGTGCGAAAGAAGTTCAACACACACACACACATACATACGATGCGGTGTCACGTGCGGGAGTGTCGGAGAGATGCGCACCCAGTTGCTGCCAAGGATGTACGTGGGCACGCGACAGCCACTGCACCACCCAGAGTGTCAGCCGCTACGCTACCGCTCCCCACGCATGACAGGAAGATCCTCCCACCCCCCCGCCCCCCCACCTATAGCCTTTAAATTGCTGCTAGCGAGCACCCGATAATGACCGGCATGGCACACCAAGGTGAGTGGACCAGCAGCATGCCCGACAGCATTCGTCTTCCTACGGGCAATGTTTATACACCACAGCTGGCACTCACTTGAGGCTGAAATGATCTGGGGAAGGCCCAAGGCCGGTTCAGATAAATGTCACCGATGTTAGCTCTCAGCGGAAATCGAACCTGGGTGGCCGCGTTCGCAGCGCAGCGCAATAACCACTGTGCCACCGCCCCCCATGAATTAAAAACACAAGTAGATACGTACGCACAGTCACGCAACTACCCCTATTACCCCACCCCTGGGTGTGCCTATGGCTGTGACAGCGTATGGGGGGGGGGGGAGTGGTGCGTGGGTGATTGGGATGGGTGAGTGGGGTGGGTGGGTGAGTAGGGTGGGTGGGTGAGTGGGGTGGGTGGGTGAGTGGGGTGGGTGGGTGAGTGGGGTGGGAGTGAGAGGAGTGGCTGAGAGTGGTGGGTGAGTGGGGTGGGTGGGTGAGTGGGGTGGGAGCGAGAGTGGTGGGTGAGTGGGGTGGGTGAGTGGGGGGTGAGTGGGGTGGGAGTGAGAGGAGTAGCTGAGAGTGGTGGGTGAGTGGGGTGGGAGTGAGAGTGGTGGGTGAGTGGGGTGGGTGAGTGGGGTGGGTGGGTGAGTGGGTGGGAGTTAGAGGAGTGGCTGAGAGTGGTGAGTGAGTGGGGTGGGAGTGAGAGTGGTGGGTGAGTGGGGTGGGTGAGTGGGGTGGGAGTGAGAGGAGTGGCTGAGAGTGGTGGGTGAGTGGGGTGGGTGGGTGAGTGGGGTGGGAGTGAGAGTGGTGGGTGAGTGGGGTGGGTGAGTAGGGTGGGAGTGAGTGGGGTGGGTGAGTGGGGTGGGAGTGAGAGGAGTGGCTGAGAGTGGTGGGTGAGTGGGGTGGGTGGGTGAGTGGGGTGGGAGTGAGTGGGGTGGGTGGGCGATCGTCACGCTCGTTCCCGCGCCGTGCCTCCCATCTCACGATTCCTGCAACCTGTGGCAACAACAACAGCAGTAATGACGAGAGTGATTATTATTACTATGGTAGTAGTAATAACTGTGATTACGAGTCACAATCGATGTTTCTGGGTTAGGCCACGTGACGCACGGGAGCTCTGCCACGTTACGGCGCGACGGAAATTGCCGTTATTGTTATTATTATTGTCGTAATAATTAATGAGCTGACCAATTGTCAATGTGTTCAGTCCCTCCACCACCCGACACTGTCAAATAAATTAAACTGTGACGTGTAGAAGCATTCATCACGTTAATTATTACTGTTGCGGCTCGCTCCGCTGGGCGAGTCGATCGACAATTCTGACAACCAGATTCATCGATCAATTCCACCACAGCGTGAAGTCCTCCCCCCCCCCCCACAGCACCTCATGCCGTGGCATTTCGTGGGAGTCGTTTGACCATACTTCACCACACCGCTATTTTTTATTTCACCAGGTACGGGTCCACTGAGCTACGTAGCTCTTTTTTAGAAACGACCTGGCCACAAGTGATAGCTCAGCTAAGTCACTTATAACATGTGGACATTTAAAGCAGCAGCACGCACGTTGTTTCTAAATGTGGAGCCGAAAAACCGGAGGTCGCAGAGAAAAAATCCACGCAACCACAGGGCGAACAAACTCCAAACAAAACAGGCGTCACGGTCAGGATCAAACTCCACGACCTCCTGCATACCAGGCGAGGGAATTAACATCCCTCCACCGGCAGAGCTGGGAGGCTACCCAGGATCGGTTCAGACGCCACTCGCCGCTGCCAACATTGGCCGTAGCTGGGAGTCGCGTCGCTTGGGTGGCTGCGTTCGTAGCACAGCAACGCGAACATGCCACCGCTCCACTGATAAGTATCGTTGTACCGCACTTCTATGCTTCCGCATCTGTGCTGCCCTCCCGACTGCAACAACCCAAGCGGACCGGGCATGGGGAAGGGTTCCTCATCCAGCAGTGGATTGACAACAAAAGGGCCCCCCCCCCCCCCCCCCCCCGTACAAAGTACATTGAGAGTTCAAGCAACGCTCATTGTTGTTAGGTGTTAACATACGTACCCTCCGTCCTCCTCCATTAGGCACAGGAACTTGCTCACGCGGAGGTGTGGCTCTGTCTGCAAGGGTACACAGAGGGAGACACAGAGAGAGACACAAAGAGACAAAGACACAGAGGGAGACAGAGAGACAAAGACACGAGGCCGGAGCAATGTCAATAGCAATGGGGCGGTGACGCGGCACGGCGGAAGCGCGTTCGCCGATTGTTGATTCGTGTTTCGAATGTGCCAGGCCGCCCTGGTTAACACCGCAGTGTGTTATATTAACCAGTTTAACACGTAGGCTTTCGCGACCAACATTATTCATAATAAAGGTTTTTTTGGGTTAGATCGCGTTATTTATAAATGTGTTGCAACCCTCCACCACTCGACACGGCCAACCAGCAAAAAAGTGTCACGTTGACAAAAGACAAATAGTTCACTACTTTAGCCCACCGGTGTGTTGAAGAGTGAATCCACAACATTTACAGTTTGAGTACGACGTTTTGCTGGTAATTACATCCAGCATCATCGGGCAATTCGCCAGCGAAACGTCGTACTACTCAAACTGTAAATGTTGTGGATTCACTCTTCAACACACCGGTGGGCGGCTAAAGTAGTGAACTATTTGTCTTTTGTCAACGTGACACTTTTTTGCTGATTGGCCGTGTCGGGTGGTGGAGGGTTACGACACATTTATAAATAACGCGATCTAACCCAAAAAAACCTTTATGTTATATTAACCGTACCAATACTACTTACGGGACTCCGCTACTTACGAACATTCGCCTTGCGAACTTTTAGAGATACGAACAAACCTGTCCGTGTGTCCAGTTGCAGCTGTTCACGATGCTATTGCCTGTTACAAGTTGATGTATGAAGAGAATAAGAGAGCAACTGTGCAAACATCTCTTGGTAAGTTTTTCAAGAGAGTAGAGAGGAGAAACGAGCACCAAAGGGAATACGCATCTACATCTGCAGAACGTGAAGAACCAGTGCCATCTACATCTGCAGAACATGAAGAACCAGTGGCATCTACATCTGCAGAACGTGAAGAACCAGTGCCATCTACATCTGTAGAACATGCAGAACCAGTGCCATCTACATCTGCAGAACGTGAAGAACAAGTGCCATCAACATCTGCAGAACATGAAGAACCAGTGGCATCTACATCTGCAGAACATGAAGAACCAGTGGCATCTACGTCTGCAGAACATGAAGAACCAGTGCCATCTACATCTGCAGAACATGAAGAACCAGTGGCATCTACATTTGCAGAACATGAAGAACCAGTGGCATCTACATCTGCAGAACATGAAGAACCAGTGGCATCTACATCTACATAACATGAAGAACCAGTGCCATCTACATCTGCAGGAGATAATACAACTTTTAAAGCCGTTCCCCGTGTTTAGTGTACAGGCCGTACCACAGGTTTGGAATCGACGGGAGTCAAGTTGAACAAATCGACTTATGAATAGATCTCTAGAACGTAACTCGTTTGTAAGTAGAGGAGTCCCTGTACTACGTGCCGTCTGCTTCACAGTGGACGTTAATTGAGAAGAGCAGGTGATTGCGTACCACCGAAGATATTCAATTGGGTGCCTACGACAAAGCTGACCGTGACGCAAACACGGAAATGACAATGCAGCGGAAATGCTGCCAGAGTAGAGGTGATGATGATGATGATAACAAAGGGGGGGGGGGAAATCACACGAACCTGCATGGCCATCTCGATGAGCGTGAGAAGCTTCTTGATGCCGATCCACACCTTCTTGCCCTTCACGTACTGAGAGATCTTGGCCCTCTCCTTGTCCTCAAAGCTACTCAGTTGCTGCAGAAATTGGGTGGTGGCGGGGTGGGGGGGGTGGTGGCAGGGTGGTGCAGTGGTGACATTTGTGCCTCAAAGCAAGAAGAGCATGTGTTCAATTCCCGACTCGGGCAACCTCTGTTTGTGGAGTTTGCTTGTCTCTCTCTCTCTCCCCCCGTGGTCGCATAGATTTTTCTCTGGGTCCTCCGGTTTTTCCCTCCACATTTAGAATCGACGTGCATTGTAGATTATTTGGCTGCTAAACATCTCCACGTGTTAAGCCACCTCGTTGAGCTATCATTTATGAAAGCCAGGTCGCTTCTGAAAAAGAGCTACAAAGCCCAGTGGGGCCTCACCTGGTAAAACAAAAAATAGTTTTAAGTTATAGTCTTATAGTCTGCAGGGCTATGCAATCCTGTGGTGTCCTTACTTCGAGCGCGTCCATCAGCTGCTCGCCCTTGGAGATGTTGGAGACGTGGATGGTGGTGCTGAAGGCGTCCAGCATCTCCATCTCCTGCAGCACCTCCCGGCGGCTCGACGTGCCGATGATGAGCAGCTTCCGGCCCTGCCGCAGCAATGCACGGACACCGACGAAGACAAAGACCCCCCCCCCCCCCGTAATAGCTTTAACGGACTGTTGGGGCAAGTGCTGCTCGCCGAGTAGACTTTTGAAAGTTGGTACTGTGGCACACGAGGGTGGTGGTGGGGTGGGGTCAGGACCAGACCCAGCTCCCTTTGTCTCCCCAGTGGCGATGTTAACATGTTTATACGTGACACCAGGTACACATTTGAGGCCGAGTCGACCTAGGGGAGGCCCAGGACCGATCTAGATATTTGACACTGATGTTAGCTATGACCGAGAATCAAACAGTGCGCTAACAACCACGCCATCGCTACACTCAACACCTGTAGACAACGAGACACTCATGCAAGACACTCATACAAAGACAAAGATTACCTGTGTAGCCTTAAACAGTCGGTGCAAGTGCTGTCAGTGAGGACTTATGAGGACCGGCACGGCACACATGGGGGTGATGAGGCCAGCACCACGTCTCGCCGAATTTGCACCCCCTCCCCCCCAACGCTGATGCTTAAGCCACCGCACCACACCAGGTACCCAATTGAAGCTGGGATCGGTTCAGCCATTCACCGCTGACGTTGGCTAGGAATCGAACCTGGGTTTTGCCACCTTCGAAGCAAAGTGCTCTCGCTCCACTTTAGACACCGCTCCGCAGACGCTCGTCAGCGCGCGCGCGCACACACGTGCGACTGTGGGTGCGAATACAAAACAAAAGTCTTCGTGTCTACGTTTTTACACACGGACACGCGCCCAATATTCCACACGCACACAAGGCCCATAACACGCAAGCCCACGGAGCAGCAACACACGAGCCACGGAGGCCCACGCAACCAAGCGAAGGGCGACGGGGACACCCGCTCGCGGCTGCACCTCGCACCGGATCATCCCTGCCCGAAGCTCGGACACTTTCTCGACGAATCTCTGCAGCAAATGCCAGAGTTGGGGCGCGTCACAACATCCGGATGTGCGACCGGGCGGTCGATTCGCTACTCTCATCCTGCCCGGTTAGCAGCGCGATGCCGCTGGGAGGTCCGGCAGGAGACGCAGGGTTAATTTTAACCAAGCTTTCAATTCGGGGTTATTTATTTATTTCCCCCCAGCTATTCGCTTTAATTTTTTTTTACTCCTTTTCCCAATGTCCCCCCCCCCCCCCATTCCGCTCCCCCCCCCCACCCCCCCGAGTGTTCGGTCCGCGGCGCCACGAGCACAATGCCGCGCGCGGCCGAGAAATGTCCCTCGTATTTTCCAACCCCGGAGTTTAATTGATACGAAGTTTGACCCCGTCCCTAATCTGATTAAAAATAAGAGTCTTATGCGCCGCCTTTGTCTCCGGGAAGTGACCCCACCTCCCACGCAGACGCGCCCGAGCGGTCACGCTCACGCTCTTCCCAACGTCCGCGCCGGGGGCCGGAGCGACGACGGACAGCCAGACATCGCCAGCGCAGCGCCGCCGTCGGGGACGAATGGTGGAGGCTCGCAGACCCGCGGTGCCCGCCGCACGGAGCCCCCCGCGGTGATCGGCGCACGGAGCCCCCCGCGTCGTGCGAGCTACGGTAGCACCACCGAGTAGCCCCCCACACCGCCGCCCCCATCATTGTGCAAGAGCGCAGGAGGGTGGTCAACAGATCCACGCTTCTATATAAGGAACGCAACAGGTGGACTTCTCCACAAATCTGGCTGTCGCCTTATGAAGCTAGTTGTAATTACTTGCGAAACGTCGTACTCGGATTGTAGATGTTGTGGCTTGGCTCTCCAACACATCGGTGTGCTGTACGAGTGACGAATTGGCCACGTTCTGTTGACGTGACAACCCTTACTAGTTGGCTGTGTCGGGTGGTGGCGGGTTTTAACGACACATTTATATATTTACGCGATCTAACCCAAAAACCTCTACTATGGATAGTCCCACCGAGTAGCCCCACGGGGTAGCCCCACCAGGTAGCCTCACCGAGTAGCCTCACTGAGTTTCCCCATCGGGTAGCCCCACGGGGAAGTCCCACTGAGTTGCCCCACCGGGTAGCCCCACGTGGTAGCCCCACCAAGTAGCCCCACAGGGTAGCCCCCGGGATAGCCCCACCGAGTAGCCCCACAGGGTAGCCCCCGGGATAGCCCCACCGAGTAGCCCCACAGGGTAGCCCCCGGGATAGCCCCACCGAGTAGCCCCACGGGGTAGCTCCACGGGCTAGCCCCACCGAGTAGCCCCACTGGGTAGCTCCATGGGGTAGCCCTACCGAGTAGCCCCACGGGGTAGCTCCACGGGCTAGCCCCACCAAGTAGCCCCACAGGGTAGCCCCCGGGATAGCCCCACCAAGTAGCCCCACAGGGTAGCCCCCGGGATAGCCCCACCGAGTAGCCCCACGGGGTAGCTCCACGGGCTAGCCCCACCGAGTAGCCCCACTGGGTAGCTCCACGGGGTAGCCCTACCGAGTAGCCCCACGGGGTAGCTCCATGGGGTAGCCCCACCGAGTAGCCCCACGGGGTAGCTCCACGGGCTAGCCCCACCGAGTAGCCCCACGGGGTAGCTCCACGGGCTAGCCCCACCGAGTAGCCCCACTGGGTAGCCCCACCGAGTAGCCCCACTGGGTAGCCCCATGGGGTAGCTCCACCGAGTAGCCCCATGAGGTAGCCCCACCGGGTGACCCCACTGAGTGACCCTTCCAGGTAGCCCCAAGGAGTAACCCTACCGGGTGACCCTAACTGGTGACCCTTCCAGGTAGCCCCACCAGGTAGCTGTGGAGCTGAGTGAACCGAGCGAGAGTGACGTCGTTCTGTGGGAACGCAAAGCAAATGTTGTGGGGTGGGGGGGGGGAGACCCGGAGAACGGTTGGGACACGATGGGATCACCGAAGATTTAGTTAAAACGCTCCGGCCGCTGCCGCTGCGCATTGCAGGCAGCCGCTGTGCGTTACGCGCCGCTTTATTTTAAACTAAACACAGCGCTGATGTTTGGGGGATTTTCTAGCGAAGTGGCCGTGAAGTTTTTGAGCACCGCTGCAGTTAAAAAAATTATATGCCGTTGCCGTTTAAAATTAACGGTGGCAATGGGGGAAAAAACAAAACCTTGCATCGTCACATTTTACACCACTGAAACGTTGTAAACAATTAAAAAAAAACACAAATGGTTGCCGTTTTGTAAACGCAGACGCGATTAAAGAATAAACGTTTAGCGGTTCCAGCAGCGACAAATTTTTGTGCGGTGACAAAACACAAACCTAAGCACGCCGCCGCCGCCGAATAACGCGGAGCTACGTGTACTCGTTTTCCGACAGGCTGCGGGAAAAACAAGTGTCTAAGCAGTGGAAAAACCCAAGTGCTGTGTTTCAATTATGCGTGCGCGAGCGCATGGAGGGCGTCTAACTGAGCAGCGGGTCTGAGCAGCCGTGGGATACCCGCGGTGGTGGCTGAAAGGGCCCGCGGAGAGGCCTGGGCCAGGCCACCGCTGAGTTCTCGCACTTCCACAGCTCCGGCACACACCGCCACCACCGCCACCACCACACTGCACACACCGCACACACCGCACGCACCGTGCCCCGCAGAACGTTTGCCGCGACCGCCCGCCCTCTCGGGTGAGGGGGGGCTCTCTCTCTCCGCACCAGCCTGGGACCGGCAAAATATTTTCGCAGGAAAAATCATATTTGCTGCCAAGAAAAGAGACGGAGTTACGGGGGCACTTGGCAGTGTCTCGAGTTTTCCCATTGTGCCAAAATTACAACAGGAGCATTGAAGAGTGAAAACTAATTCCGGCTTTGCATAAATCCCCCAGCGCTGGTAAAATGGTGCTTAGCACAGCAGGTACTGCGGCTCATTCAGCCGCTATTTAAAGAAATTTATTGGATATGGTGTCAATCACCAACCACACCGGCTGAAAGCAGCGGCCATCTATTCCCCCCCCTCCCCCCCCCCCACTTTTTTGGCGTTTATGCACCCGTCGGATTACGTTGGGAAATTTTTAAAAAAAAATCAAATGTCACTCTTACAACGATGACAACAGAAAGAAGAAGAAGAAGCGGCGTGGAATGCCCAGACCGATACGCCGTCGTTGCAGTGTGGGCTTAACCGCGTTGTCGGTTTGGGCGGTGGAATTCCCACAGCAGCAAGACTTGCGCCAATTCTTTATAAATGTTATTGCGACCGTCAACCAGCGCACAACGCCTCAAGCAGCAACGGCCCACCGCGTGACTGCATTTGAACTCGCAGGTAAAAAAAACGATAACGGGACGTTGTCGTTCATCAGTTCACTGTTGGATGAACACCTCCCGATGCCGTGTTGGTCGTGGGAGTGACGTTGACCATACTTCCCCCTCTACCAAGCCCGACACTGGTTCAGTGATTGAGCTGGTAGAGGGGAAGGGCACAGTGGGGGCCAGGAGCGGTTCGGGTATCGAGGGCGACTGACGTTAGCCATGGTCGGGTATCGAACTCAGGTTACTGGGTTCGTAGCGCAGGAGTATTCTTAGCTCTTTCGGTAAAGTCACGTTGAAGTGAAGAAAAATTAAATAATTAAATAATAAAAAATATATTAAACAATAAAAATTCTCACGACGTTTCGACCATAACACAAACGGTCGTCATGAGGTGTGTCGGTTAGCATTAATGTATTTATTTTTAAACGGTGTCTTTATTTATTTATAAAAACGACAGCGCCACGCGCAGCGATTTGGCAGTTTATTTAGAAGGACTAGTCCATCTATGTTCTGAAAAGAGGAGGGGGGAGACGAAAAATTAATGTATGCTGTCTGCAAGCCACTAAGCGTGAACAATCAATTAAGACCTGAAATGGTTAATCAAATCTTTCCAATGATTGCTAAGCCAGAATCCATCTTCTCGGTTGAAATTGTCTCTGTAGGAGTAGTCACAAACTATTCCCCCACTGCTTCACCCGATTAGAAAGCTACTTGGAATGAAATTATTTGTAACTGGACTCCCCAAGCCACAGTAATGAAAGACGCGGGTAAAGAAAGTAAAGGATAAGCGGTAGCAAAGAC